ACAGATTCAAATAAATCTCTACAATACCGGTAGTCTTCCATTCTAGGCTTCCAAATCGAATAATTAGTAGCATTCAATTTTATCATGCAATCATTGTCCGAATCATCCATTTTTAACTAGTACAACTGAACAGCCCAACCTGACTGCTTTGATACCATTTGTGGGGAAAGGAGTACTGGTACAGGCACACAATATCAAAGTTAGCATAGGATAAATTTCTCTTTTCCCAAGTACCAGTTAAAATAGGAATAAACCAAATCACCAAATAATAATACCAACAGTGATAATAAAATGCAAGAAAAAGAAAAATAAAAGGCACAGGACACCAAGATTTTTTACTTGAAAAATCCAATTGGAAAAAATCACGGAATCTAGTCCAATCAGAAATCTCCACTATCACAATAATGAAAATACACAGGTCTACCCGAAATATTCGAGTGACAACAATATCACCAATAGCAACCAAGCCAATCTACTACAAAATCACTCCCCAAAATTACAACTGTCAAAAAAGTAGGTTTCAAAAAGTGTTACCAAACGAAGAGAAAATCCAAAATCTGAACCGGTAGATGAGTAGAGCCTGACGAGAGGATCACGTGGATAAAATTTCGTCTCAATCGGTTCCAAATTACCCTCCAATCAAGATCTTGAAGTTTCTCACTCTCTAGCTCTTTCTCTCTCTTCATTTTTTCTCTCAACCAACAAAAGATGGTGGCTGACTTTTTTCTCTCGCACCAGGACTAAAGAATAATTGCCTTATGTGGCTACTTAATGTTCCGTCACATGAAGCCCTCAAATCTTAGTAACTTGTGTTTTGGGTTGGCCCACAAATGGGCTGGCCCACACAGGTCCAACAAAAGGGAAGTTTTATGACCATAGAACTAGAGAGCCACCAAGTCAGCTTTGCTCTCCTTAATCAAAAGATTTTCCAATCCCTCCGGCGCGCGGGGGGAGGGATGGTAGGAGTTGAGGATAATGTGTGACAGCGAAGAAGAAGGTATTTTTTCAAGTACATAGCTTTAATTGTGAGGATCATAATAATGCTGAGCAATTAACGGATTTAAGTGTGTCTAACAATCAAAGAATTATCTCTTATGAACTCAAATAGAGTACTGATGTTTGAGAAATCTTACCAGGGCAATTGAAAAGAACACAACGAGAGCAACAGATGAACGCATCCTGTCTTTGAAGTTTGAACAGCTCAAAATGAAACTTTGATGGTTTAAGAGCTCTTGGGGCTACGGCTATTTATACAAGAGCATAGCCAAGTGAACCTAGCAAGACTATAGCATGGATCACGTGGCTGGTTGGTTCGATTTGAGAAGTTGCTGCCTTCGTACACCAATCCACAAATTACCAAAAATTTTGCATTTTTACTGAAGGGCCAAAATTTCCTAAAATCATCCGTCAATTTCAAATAACAGTACATTGCCAGTGTTCAAGACTCAACTTAGTTCATAGAGATATTCACATTGTAATAAATGATGAATAAAATCTGTCACTATTTTGAAAATTTACAAGTCATTATTTTGGTATAAATGCATAGCCCCATTTCATTCAATCACATTAACAGAAGAAGTGGTCATAAAGAACCCTAATAAAGATGGTTTTATCATGACCAACGTTCAATTTTCGTACGAGTTATCTAATGTGTTTGCAAATCATTTTCTTTTTTGCTTGTTGGGTCATGAAATTTTTATTGGAGGCACAGTTCTCTCTAACGCTACTACTCATCAAAACACAAATATAGGTATCAAAACACTACCTGTCAAGGGAGAATGTGTTCATTGCCAAAAAATTCTAGCTTCAGGATAAAAATTGGCTTTAGGTGTTTTTAATAGCATCTTTTTGGAATTTAGCACCATTAGATACCCATAATTGACAATCTAGACAATTGAAATGTCATATGGAAGTTTATGTTCATCTCATTGATTTGAAGCATATAATTGGTTGCCTCACATTATGTGATTGATTAATATGGTTTTAACGAGTATTTTGAAATTTGAACCAAACTGGTTGGTTCAATTGCTTGAACCAGGAAAAAAAACAATTTTTTACTTCTTTTTTGTTGCATTTTCTCTTTCGATTTTATGATCTTTTAAGTTTTCATAAATTTTTTTGCCTTGACTTTGATACTAAAATCTTTCACCATAATAATTCTGTTTGAGCTGTGGATAATTTTTACAACAATAAATGCTCTCATAAATTTCTTTCGAATTTGATCATTACAATCTTAATTTTTATATTTTGTCAAATAAAACTTATGGATTCAATTCTAAACCATCATTTTTTATTTCAAATTTTAAATGTTATAATACTATTTTATGTGACATATAATTCATCCATATTTATTGTGAGAACTCGAGAAAAATTATATGTATGCTGTGAATTTCTTTTATTTTAATTACTTTGATATTAGAAATATTATAATGAATAAATGGTTAAATTAAATGCCTAATTGAATTTATATAAAATTGAGAATTTAGAAGTATTCTAGAATGGTGTAAAAAAAATTAAAATTAAATGAATGAAAATAACATATTGTACGTATACCGTAATTTGTGTGATTTGAATATATTATAGTTGAATAAATTACATGTTTAGTTAATTTCCTATAGAATCAAATGTGTGAGAATCTACAAGATTAAGGAAATACAAATAAGGTTGGGAGTTAACGAGTGAATTAATAAAAAATGCAGCCTTAGTAAACAAATGAACTAATGTTAAATGACCTAGCTAATCTTTCATCTTAACTAATTTACCATTCAACCAGCTAACTATCAGAATATTAGAAGCTAGAGTTAAGTGGAGGAACTTGGGAATTATTGTCCACCGAATGAAGAGGATTTGGGTGATCAGCCGAGAGAAAGTGAGGAAGGCTTCATTCTCTTGCTCCACTTCAGACCAACCGAGAGAGTAGAGAGAGAGCTCTGCATTTTCCTAGGCAACTAACTGCTAAATTCCAAGTGGTGGCTGAAGAATCAAATAGAAGGTTGCTTGCAAAGTCCAAGCAGTGACCGACCGAAAACAAGGAGAAGTTATCTGTCAATATCTTTGGGTGGTGGCCGAGAGGAAAACAAAAACTTCAATTCCTTTCCTTTTCAACCCAACACCGAGAGTAAAACTAAGAGAGTGGGAGAGAAAGGTTAGCTAGCTTCATCACCAACTAACCAAAAACAAGAAGGAGTATAGCGAGGAAAGCAGGAGAAGCTCGAGCTAGGACCTTGAGGAACTGAATCAGGGAGAGCTAGAGCAGTCGGCAATTTCAGATTCTAAGGAAAGAAAAAAAAAGGTAAAATTTTATAAACCTCCTGCTTATTTAGTGTAATTGAATGTTTAAGCTGTGTATAAACTTTAGCTAGGAAAAAATGAGTTCTTGGTTGGAAAAAGAAACTTTGTGCAGAACCGAATGGCAGCTGGAATTACTTCCGGGCATCCCACCATGAAGTACTCCTTCAACCTTCTTCATAAGGTGCTGCTATACTGATCTTCTACTGAATTTTATCAAGTAACAAAAGCACTTAGAATTCCTTTCATACATTTTCTTATTTTCAACCTTTGATTATTGGCAAAAAATTTTGGGCTTTATATTCGGTCAAATTTCAAGAAACATGTGAGCTAAAATCATGCCTTCCACATGTTTGACAAAATGTCTTAGTTAAATCTGTTTTAAAAAAAAAGATTTCTTATCGTTTTAAAAAATAGGAACAGCTTCGTTTGCGTTTTGTGCGTCGCTGGTAGGTTGTCTTCCACGACCATGTTTGCCCTCTAGCTGCCTGCTGGGAGGCGTCCCTCTCCTTCTCAAACCTTTGAATGCAAATCCTTTGCTGCTTTATTCTCAGCCGGTTCTTCACAACCGACTCTGACCATTCATGTATCGCCTGCGACCCATAAGGGGGAACCAGCTCTCATGTTTTCACAGGAGGATCTCAATCGGCTAGCCACTCCTTACAAGGATGCCCTAGTGGGAAAATTCTCTAGGGAAAGACCAAAAATGGAGAAGATACGCAGGTTCTTCCTCTCATTAGATTTACGAGAAGTTCGGTGGGTTTGCTTGACTTACGACATGTCTTCATAAAGCTGGGGAATGAAGTTGATTTTCATAGACTCTGGGCCAGAAGCACCTGATATGTCCATGGCTCTCCGATGAGAGTCTTCAAGTGGTTGACGGCGTTCCATGTGGATAAGGAACCGTCTATCGCCCCCATTTGGTTCCAGTTCCAAAAACTGCACCGCAGTGCACTAGTTCAATAAGGAGGTTCTCTTTCAGATCATCTCAACACTGGGTAATCCGCTATTGATGGATGCGGCAACGTCAGAGACGACTTGTCCAAGTTGTGCGAGAGTCTGTGTGGAGGTTGACCTGCTCAAGCCTCGGCCATCACATATATGGATTGGAAACGGCGAAAACGATGGGTTTTGGCAGTGCTTCATTCTTGAAAATCTCCCTCTATACTGCTCCCATTGTTTTCGTTGGGACATGGAGTGGAGGGGTGCTATGTCTTGCACCCAAACCTCCGGGTATCTAAAACGGAGGGTGAGAAAGCTAGGAAGTTTTGCCTGTAGCCAAAAGAGGTGCGCCAACGCAAGGAGACTGCCCAGGATGAAGTGGGTGGGCATTTGGCCGCAGTGGTCGCACTGCTGCCCGTGACAGTAGCTCCAGAGGAGGAGTCTTTCGCTACGGTAGTAGATACCTAGTTTGTGGCTGGTGCGCAGGCGGAAGGGAAAATGGTGCCACGGGCATCACAGGTGGGAGAAGTAGACCTGGTAGAGGGAAAGGCAGGTGGGGTAGCAAGAGTTTGGGTAGGGAGAGGGAGGAACATGAGTGTGTGACTACACAGGCAGAAGAGAGGGCATTTGAAGGACAGCTTCGTGCGACAATGAATGGTACAACGGCGGCGGCATTTGCATAGGAGGACCAACCACGGCAATGTCTGGTAGAGGGGCAACCTGATAGCTTGCGTGGGTGTGCAGAGAAATCGCAACCTAGCAGCGAATTGCAACTGGAGGAAATGGAAGATGAGCTGACCATAGAGTTGTGGGGAGCGAGAGCAGCGGTAGTGGACATAGAGGAGAGCGATGCAAGTGAGGAAGAGAGAGAGGTAAAACTCCCTCTGGTGGCAAGCACTTTGTCACCAAGGATAGTGGTCACAAGCATTTCTTCATCTGATGTTAGAAGGGAACCAGCAGATCAATGTGCAGCAGGGGAAATGAATAGGCTTGCTGCCGTGGCATCAGAGGACGAAGAGCTTAATGAGTTGCAAGGGCGGGTGGGCAATTTGTCTCCAAGGGGAGAATCTAATAAAGTAAGGATGACTAGTGATAGTTCATCCTTTACTGCGTATCAAACTCCACATTGCGACAAGCTGGGTCGCTTGCATTATCTCAACCAAAGAAAAGAGGTTCTCAGCTGCCTTTTTCGTCAGACCGCACGTTACGCTCTAAGGTGATTTCTTCACAAAATTCTTTTGCAATGTTATCTAATCATTAACTTTATCTTTTGGAACATTCGGGGTGTCTCACGTGCCTCTAATCTTAAAAGACTCCGTAAATTAGTTAAAATGCACTCTCTCTCTTTGATAGCAATTTGTGAACCTAGGACCTCGATTGCAAACATGGATATGATTCGAATGAAGGTGGGGATGAATTTTTCTGTTGCAAACCTGTGGGGTAGCATTTGGGTGCTTTATAAATCTGTCTTTGATTGCCAAACGATATGTGAGTCAGATCAACATCTCACTTTAAGCCTCCGATCCCAATTATTGGCTGAGGAGATCTACTTTTCATTTATTCATTCGAAGTGCACCGTCCAGGAGAGGGAAGGTTTATGGATCGAGTTGTTGAATGACAAGCCGGAGGTAAAACCATGGTTTCTTGTGGGGGATTTTAATGTTATCTTAAATGCAGAGGAAAAAAGGAGTGGCCTACCTTTTAGACATGCTCAGGGGATAGAATTATCATAGTTTATGTCATTGGCAAAAGGGTTCTTTAGGTCTAGGTACACATGGTGTAACAATCGATAGGCTATTTTAAGAGTTTGGAAGCGGCTAGACAGGCTTTTGCTCAACTCAGCTACTATGCATATGGAGAGTAATATTTTAGTGCAGCACTTGGGGAGAGACCCTTCTGATCATGCTCCTCTTTTGACATCGACATCAATGAGATTAGATGACAAGCCACGGCCATTCAGATTCCTAAATATTTACACCACAAAATCAGGTTTTATGGATATGATTGAGGAGAGTTGGTCTATTTCCTCCCCTGGTTCCCCCTTTCAGGTTTGGTCGGCTAAACTGCGACGGGTTAAACAGGCACTTAGACTATGGTCAAAGGAATCTATTGGTGACATCTTCTTAGTGATTCAGACAGCAGAACAGAGGGTGCTAGAAGCTAAAATAGATCATGATAACCATCCGTCAGAAAGGTCGTTGGTGGCTTTACAAGAGGCACGTGCAAGATTGAAGCATACTTTGGTGATTGAGGAAGAATTCTAGAAGCAGAAAGCTCGTGTCAAATGGCTATCAGATGGGGACAGGAATACGAAACTTTTTCACGCTATGGTGACAGAGAAGAGAAACAAATCAGTGATTCATAGAATTAGGAAGACAAATGGTGACTGGGTGACTGACGAGTCGAGTATTTGTAATGAAACTGTCTCGTTCTTCCAAAAATTGTTTACAAATGAGGGGGGAAGTCCTTGAATAACACGCTAAACATTATTCCAGAGTTGATCACTGAACAGGATAATGAGATGTTGACTGAGGTTCCATCTATGCAGGAAGTAAAGGAAGTAATTTTTTCAATGGACGAAGAGAGTGCTGCGGGTCTGGATGGTTTCACGGGAAAGTTTTTCACGTCTGCTTGGGAGGTGGTCGCTAAGGATGTTCAAAGGGCTATTGTCAGTTTCTTTTGTGGCACAACGTTGCCAAGAAGTGTCTCAGCTACTTCAATTGTTTTACTACCCAAGATACAATGCCCTCATGATTTCACTCAATATCGCCTGATAAGTTTATGCAATTTTATTAATAAGGTTATCTCCAAAATTTTATCTTCCCACTTGGCAAAGGTTCTTCCTCATATTATCTCACTACAACAGAGTGGTTTGGTGTAAGGGAGACAGATGGCGAATAATTTTCTATTAGCGCAAGAATTATTGAATGATATTAATAAACCTAATAGGGGAGGAAATGTGATGCTCAAGCTGGATATGATGAAGGCATATGATAGGGTGTCTTGGTTGTTTTTTATACAAGTGCTTCGTCGGTTTGGGTTTAGTGAAGTTTGGATCGATATGATATGGAGACTGATATCGAATGTTTGGTTTTCTGTCTTTGTCAATGGCTCGCCCCATGATTTCTTTAAGTCCTCACGGGGTTTGAGACAAGGTGACCCAATTTCGACAGCCTTGTTCGTTATTGGTGCAGAGGTCTTGTCCCGTTCACTCAATACGCTTGCGGAGTATAAAAGATTCAGACCATTCAAAGTCCCTAGAGGCTGTTCTATGGTCACACATTTGGCCTATGCAGATGACGTAGTCATTTTCACTAGCGGCCTTAAGGCTTCAATAACATTGGTCAAAGGAGTAGTCGATGAATACTGTGCATTTTCCGGCCAGCGTGTTAATTGTCAGAAGAGTTGTTATTTGGTGCATCCCACCTTGTCTTTGCAATGACGTGCGATGATTGGAATGGTAACCGGCTTCTTGTACTTATATTTTCCAATCAAATATCTTGACTGCCCCCTTTATATTGGAAGAAGGCGGATGCATTATTTTGCCGAACTCTGCGACATGGCAATAGTTAGAATCCTATCATGGAAGAATCGGGTCCTCTCATTTGGGGGCAAGATTGTGCTGTTAAAGAGTGTTCTGTCTTCAATACCAATCCACCTGTTAGCAGTGGTATCTCCTTCGAAGGGAGTCATTGATTCCTTAGAAAGGGTGATGGCAAATTTTTTGTGGAGCTCGATGAATATGGGCCAGAAATTTCATTGGTTAAGTTGGGGGGAGTTATGCCGTCCACATCAGGAGGGTGGGATTGGAGTTCATAGCTTGGCGAAGGTATATGATGCTCTTTCCATTAAGCTTTGATGGAACTTTCGGCAAAGGAGATCCCTATGGGCTGAATTTTTAACAACAAAATATAGTTGAGGGTGCACTCTTGTTTGGTAGAAGAGGGTTATTCACTTTCTTACATTTGGAAGAGGTTATGTTCGATTCAACAGTTGGCAGAAGAGCATATTTGCTAGGTCATCGGTGAGGAATCAATGGATTTCTGGCATGACAATTGGATGGGAACTGGGGCTATATGTCATCAGGTGGAAATTTTTCATGATCATATTGTGTCAGATTTTTTCTTCCAAGCGCAATGAAATATGCGACTCCTTAATCAAGTTCTAGACCCTGAGTTGGTTAGGCAAGTTGCGAAGATTCTCCCTTCATTCGTTCATAGCTCTGATAGGATAGTGTGGGATTTAACGCAGAATAGTTCATTCTCGGTTTCTTCGGCTTACACGCTTATTTCGCAAGCTTCTAATTATTCCTGGGTGGTTTCGCATGTGTGGCTAAAGTGATTTCCTATCAAAATCTCCTTCTTTATGTTACAGTTGCTATGTTGCGTCTTCCCCTAACGGACCTGCTACGTAGATTTGGGGTACAGGGTCCATCTAAGTGTCATTGTTGTTCTGAGCCAGCAGATGATGAGGTTAATCACATATTTTTAACAGGGGATTTAGCTAAGGCGCTCTGGAATAGATTTGAGAGTGTCCTAGGAGATTTGGATATGGTGTCCACGTTGAGACACGTGCTGTTATGGTGGTGGCTGCGTAAGGGGCACAACGTGTATCTCAGGTTCGTTTATCGTACATTACCTATGCTCATCTGCTGGGAATTATGGAAAGCGAGAAACAGGGGACTGTTTGATGGAAGGAAGGTGGCGTGGACGGAGGTGGCAAATCAGGTATTTCAATAGCTATGTAATTTACTACATTGTAATTTTCCGGAAATAGCATGTTCTTTCGTCTCTTGGGATGTTCTTCACTTTTCATTGGTAGCTCCGAAAAGAAGGGTTTATATTTTACCGATTACATGGTCGGCTCCTAGGGCAGGGTATAAGTTGAATTTGGATAGCTCAGCAAAGGGGAACCTAGGAGTTAGTAGGGGTGGGGGAGTTGTGCGAGATGGGGAAGGGAGATTTATTGTCGGTTATTCCTGTTTTTTTGGGTCATTGACCAGTTTACACGCGGAGCTCGAGACCATACTCTTTGGGGTGCAGCTCTGTGTTGCTGGAGGCTTACAAGACTTCCATGTTGAATCTGACTCACTTGTCTTGATGCAAATACTCCAAGGGACACATGGTTGCCCTTGGAGACTCCAACGGGAGGTAGCTGAATTATTCAGTTTCAAGCATCATTTTCGTGAGATAACCCATTGCTATAGAAAGGCAAACAAACTTGCTGATTATCTAGCTAACCTTGGCACAAATTCGGAGTAAGAGGATGTTTTTGACGACTTTCGTTCTTTGCCAGCTACTGTCTGTGGAGAGATTATCATGGACACTTTAGGTTTCCCTAATTTTCATAGAAAATTTCTATAGCTTAGCTAAAAATTTGTATTAAATAACTGTCATATGGATATTTTCATGAGATTGGGTTTGTTGGCAGGGAGTTTCGTCCATTTATAAGGGGAAACTCTGCCAAAATTTTTTAATTAAAAAAAACTCTTAGTTAAAAAAAAAAAAGAATGGCAGCTGGAAAGAAAATTGCAGAAATGGGGAATGGAAACTGGAAATTGTAGCTTGTTATCAATGTTTCTTTGGAGAATAATGATAGGAAATGCATGTTCTACATTACCTTAAGTTTTATAAGAGGTTTAATCAGCTAAACATGGGCTTTAGACGTTGGGTTTAGCTACGAAATCAGTTCTGGTTCAAGGAAAACATTATACATCAGAAATGGTAACTAAGAGCAGAAATGAGCTATGGTTCTGTTTAGCTCTTGAAATCAGTCTCACGTTTTGTTTAGTCTTGAGTTATACCTTACATGCTAGCTGTAACCTAAAACTGAAGGGAATCCTAAGGAACTTACAAATGATATCTTGTTGATATACGCGTGCGAAAGCATGCAAATCTGATGCATGCATGGCACCAGATTTGCAGCTAGCTGCAGAAATGAAACCAAACTCAGTTTTTTTTTTCTCCTTTGAATCCTGGTCATGAACGACCTTGTTTAGCTTAGGATAACCTGCAACAAACAAGGTTAAAGCAAGTAGAAAACTGAAGTGAACAATGGACGACTCTCGACTGCACAAAAAGACCTCATTGCTCCTGACCTGTTTTCATGTGGTTCTGGTCGTCCACTTTTGACCCTGAAAACATGAGAACTGGATGTCAATGTCTCATAAGAAATATAGATCTATGTTTTAGGTTCGAAACGCTATAAAATCCGCCTCAATCCGATAAACGTAGCTCCAATTATGATCAAAACACCCGAGGATGGCAAAGCTGCTTTTCCTTTTGTTCCTGAATGCACTTTGCTAAGATGCTCACCGTGAGGAACCAACTTTTAACTAGCATTTCCTCTAATTTCCAACGTTGTAAGATTTCATAAATGATAGCCACGGTTACTCTGAGATTTAATGGCTATATATAGCTCCACAAGTAGAGTTAAATTAAAGCAAATGAGAGGAAAACTCATGATACTTATGTACCTAAATTGGCTTCTAATTACTTAATATTGTCTTCACAAATATTTTAAAAACTATAAAATCTGAGGGACTGGTGTAGTGGAATAAAATTTAATTTACAAATAACCTAAAATTTAATTGTTTAAAAAGGGGACCAATGGAGTACTCCTAAGCCATAATCTTAGAATCTTGAGTGGAAAGTGATTTAATACTAAAATAAATATTTTATAAATTATTAACTTGAAGAATACGTATGTTCTTGATTTAAAATAATAAAGTTAATAAGTCTTGAAATAAATTGGGGAATAAATATTGAGTATATTTTGTATTTTAAGGTCAAACTTAATTTTAATAATTTAAACGATAAAGTAGAATAAATATTGAATAGGTTATATTTTATATTTTAAAGTCAAACCTAATTTGAATAATTTAACTAATAGGTGAACATCTACAAATTGTAAATTTACCATGGAATTATATATTTATCTCAGAAGTAGCTGCGAGCCAGGAAACGAACCCGCGGTTCGAGAGTAAATTATTTAGATAATTGGTGAGTGTTTTCCAAATTTATATGTTTAAATGTCTATGTGTATCTAAGTGAAATAATGTGACAAATGTGCTTATCATGAATCATTACTAAATGATTTCTTGTGAAATGCATCTCAATTGTCCCTCGTCTTCTAAGTCGAGGATGTACTTTATCGCACTCGACTTAGTTGAACTTGAAGGTCGATAATTGACTGAATGTTACTGTAAGTGTGCATGAGTGTAAGCCGTCTGTGTGCCTCGCCGCATCGGCTGAACTGCACCCCAAAACTCTCTGTTCAACGGACAAGTCGAGCCAGCAAAGGGTTTGGTCGGATAGGATAGTAGCTTTGGGTAAATGTTTCGGTATACTCGAGTATTACCATGAGGTTGGGAGATTATTGAACTGATTACTGAATGTAGGGGATTGTTTATTGTTTTAGAAGACATAAGGAGGCGAAGTGGCGGAATATGCAATGATATTGAAATGAATGTACAATGACAGTGAAATGAGTGTCTCTTGACACTGAAATGAATGCTCAATGACATTGAAGTGGCTCTAATGCGAGTACCATATTCTTTTAAAAGTGATTGTATAGTGAAGTGTTTCCTCAATTGCTTAATGAAAGTGATTGTACAGTAAAATGTGCACTACTTGCTTAATTGTACTGATTTAAATTTTATTAAATGTTACTTGATCGGCAAACCTTACTGAGTTTTAGCTCAACTTTTTAGTTTTGTTTTCCTTACAGGGATTAGAGGTCGGGGATCGAACGAGGGAACTTAGAGATTTATCATGAAGACTTTAGCATTGTAATTAGTATCTTAATAAGGTAGGCATTTTGTATCGATCGAAGTATTGTAAAAGAATGTGAACGGTTGGTTTTGGTTTATCGAAATGTTATCTCTGGGGTTAATGGAAATTATCAAATGGTTATCTCTGAAATTAATGTGAAATCAATGAGTCCTGATGAGAGTCAGGCAGACGATCCGCTAACTTTTAGGGTATACCCTATAAAAAGTGGGGTCATCTAATTATGATAGTTTTTCTATTTTTCATAATGACGAACCTTGCATTTGGCACCTCTCCATTTCCCGGTTTTAGATATTTGACACTTGTCCTGCAGTGTTTGAAGGGATAAGATTTATTTACTAAACTAGATTTTAAACCTTAGTTAACTAACTTCAAAATGCCCAAATTAGTAGGAGCAAAATTTTAGGCTTTCTTCCCGTGTTCATCTAATCATCTTCTTGATTTTATTGTTCCACCGTAGAAAAACCCTGTGGTAAGAAAAGTTTTATGTTGTGGAGAGAATCTATGGAAAGACACGAAATTTGAAATTGGATGCTTAGTGCATTCTCGTGTTCCTTTTCAAACAACAATAGGCAGGTCTAAATCATTAAATTCACAAGGAGCAGAGTCAGATTGAACACACAAAGGAACAAAATTTTCAGTACCTGATTGTGGTTCAGATTCTTGGATTTGCACAGGTTCAGAAATATGAACTATCTTCCTTGAGTAGACCTTGAGTGGTGTAGTTGGATTTAAACTAGTTTTTCTCTCCGCTCCAAGATCAGGTTCAATTTCTTTACTGGCATGTTCAACTTCAAATTCAGGTTCAGGTTCACTGCTAGCATGTTCTCCTTTGGAATTTGGTGTATGGTCAAGTTTGAAAGACTTCAAGTTTACAGTAGAACTTTGAAGGTCAAGGAGAAATTCCTTATCTTCCCAAGAACTCTCCCCCTGGAGATGAGGATTATTACTTTGAGAGTAAGGTTCATTTTCAACAAATGTGACATCCATGGGGGTAAAATTTTTTTTTAAGATGGATGATAACACTTGTATCCTTCCTTTGTATTTGAGTATCCCACAAAAATACATTTTAAAGCCCTTGGATCAAGTTTCCCTCTTTGGTGTGCATGAACATGTACAAAAGCAACACAACCAAACACTTTTGGTGACAATATGCAAGAGACATTAAAATCAGGGTAAAAAATAGAAAGAGCAGCAATGGGACTCTGATTATTCGTACTTTGGAAGGTACTCTATGTGAGAACCCGAAAATTTTCACATTTTTTAGGCATTATTTTATTTTTGCCTACATTTTTATACTTGCCTTTAAAATATTAAAGTTTCTATGCATTTTTATAAGTAAGTACAATTTTAAATCATTTTCGTAGTATAAGTTAGTGTACGTTAAATTTGAAGTGCGTTATAGACGTGGGACCCGCTAGTGCGATAAAACTTTGACGACTAGGTGATGAGGTATCAAGGGATATTATTATACAAGGTGCTAGAGGATAATTAGAGATTTGTTAGATGATGTAACCATTGGAAGCCAAAGGATTAGAGAAAACACTAGAAAGGCCAAGTGTCACTACATCATTGGAGGTTGGACTTTGACCTAATTTTCTTCACTTTACTAAAACAAATTTTGACCCAAAATATCCTCCATTTTCTTCTTCTTGGCCGGCTGTTTTGAGGAGCGAAATAAGAGAGAAAAACTCCATTTTCTACTTCACTTGCTAGCTTGGATCTTGTGATTTAGCCAACCAAATTTGAAACTACTCCATACAAGTGATCACTAAGGAAGGTTAAAGGCTTTGGTGGAGTTATTTTGGAGGGGGAAAGACTAAGCTATCATCTTTCTTGAGGTTACAAGGTATATTTGGCTAGCAACTTTTTCCTACTTTCAATATGTGCAAACTAATAGCTTATGGTTGAGATTTTGATAGTTTTATGCAATATTTCATGAGTTGAGGTAGTGATATGAAAATTTTCAGTTTTATGGTGTAATTTCTGCTCACATGTGAAGTGTAATGGTTGGTCAAGATTTACTAGCTTTGATGTATGGAAAATCGTGTGTTTAGGTGCTAGTTTACTTTGCCTAAAGAAATTTCTGGTTGGTTTGCATAAATTCTAGCTTTAAGTTTTTGTACTACCCTGTTCTGATCAGTTTCATTTGGCCATGATGGAAGCCGAATTGGGCTTAGCTTAAAACATAAAAGTTGTAGGAAATGATGTTTTATAACTGGTTATAAAATTTCAGCTCAATCCAAGCACTATAGCTCATGAAATGACAAAAATACCTTTGACTGCTATAGGTAGAGTTTTGTGGATAGTTTTGACATTTCATCATTCTGGCTTCATTTTTCACCATGATCGGTATTAAATCATCAGTTGACCAAAACATAAAACTTGTAGTCTTATGTTTTAGCTTTCCAAAGCATCCAAAAACGCCTCAATCAAACTTGTGTAGCCTGAATTATTGTCATTTGAACCCAGTGCTATTATCCAGCCTGACAGTGAAATTCTAGTTCTATAATCTGTAATTTCGACCTGGATAAACTGTGAACCGGGTTGAGTTGTCTTCATGAAAGTTGTAACTCTTTGTCTTAGTTTCGAAACGGTATAAATTGTACTCCAATCCTATAAGCGTAGCTTCGGTTGTGACCGATACGCTAAAAAACATCAAACCTGTCATTTTGTTCTTTATCTTAAACCTTATTTCCGGTCACTTTTCTAGCTTGGTTTTGTAATGGAATGACTTTTAGCCTATTGAACGGCTATTGCAATGAGATTATTTGTATGTGATTTTGGGGGCTGATTGAGGAAAATAATAAAGTCATAAATGGCTGAAAAATAGGTAAATACAAAGGGCTTACTGTCCAAATTTGCACTCGAGGGCTAGGTAGATGTACTCGCGACTTGAGTAAGGGTTGAGGATGAAACTAATTTGAATCATCTAAGGTATTCAAGTCTTCTTTATTAGAGGTATATAAGTTAGAATCTGGCCGAAACTTGTACCCTTGGAAAAATAAAATTTACGACTAATAGAAATACGTTTTCTTCGTTTCTTCGACTCAAATGGAGATTTCAAAGTTTTACGAGCGAGCATAAGTTTTACAAATATTTTACTCATGTCCTTTGGTTTAAATGTACTCTTTTTACTTCCAAAATTATATTTATACATTGTCCTAGTAATTATTCAGATTTTCTTCGATTCACCTAAATCTTTGATGGTAGAACCGTAATGTGTTTTCTTGGTTACTCTTAGGGTTCCTTGGTGATTGAGGGTGCTATCCGAAAGAATATTTTGAACGTTATTTTACTTAAATAGGTGAGTGGTCTTTGTACGTTATGTTTCCAATGACTATGTGGATTGTTGTGATTATGTGACTATTTGTGAATATTGGATTAAATGTTAAATGTTTTCAATGATTTCCAAAAATGAATTTTGCTAGGCGAGTGTGTACTTTATCGCACTCGACCTAAATGAATGTGAAATTTACAATGATTAAATGATTAAATGTTTAAATACTACTTGTACATGAATGTAAGCCTTTTGGCTGAATTGGGCCCTTGCCCTTCGTTGTCGGTCAACTCGAGTCAGAAGCGGACTCGGTCGAGCGATTGGTGACCCTGGGTTAATGTTTGGTATACTCGAGTATGACCATGAAGATTGGTGGAAACTGGTCAATGTCCAGTAGGGGAAAAATGAAATGAATGAATAAATGGCAAGAACAATGGAGGGGTTTTCACTTACAAATATAATTTTTAATGACTGAAGGAATAAGGAAATGATTGGTGGAATGAATGAACGAAGAGCTCCACGTGAGCATGTATCCTTTTAATGAGTGTGTTATCATTGCTTTATATTGTAAATGTTTTCTGGATTACTTGTTATTACATGATTAATGTCCTTGTTTAATTACTTGGCTATGTGTATGGAACCTCACTGGACTTTTACCTCATTCCGTTAATTTTGTTTTCCTTACAGGGGATGCGAGCGAGGGCGTGAGTCCTGTGCAGACTAACTTGGTCTAGTTTTTGAAATTTTATTTTTTTATTGTTCTCGCGCTAATGCTTGGATAATGTTGGATGTAGTAAGAACTTAAAACTTTTGTTCTAATTGGGATTGTATTTCTGTTTGAGATGGATATGAATGTAAGTATATGTTTCAAGTTTGGGAATTGTTTTTCGCTTAGTCTCGAGGTTATATCTTATTTCACTTGATGAGAGCGATCGAGCCTTGACGAGACTTGGGTAGGTAGTCCACCAAACCTTTTGGTTCGCCTTAGGGGAAGATGGGACTGTCACAGGTGATATCAGAGCCGACTCCCGACCCCGGTGTGCCAACAAGGACGCTGGATTCCCTAAGGGAGGTGGATTGTAATAATCCCACATTGGCTAGGGAGGAAGTCCTGGGCGGCTTTAATATCCTGTCGTGGTGTCCCCCACCTGATCGAGGCCTTTTGGAGGGGTGCTGGGCCTCTTGACCTGCGGGTTTGGGCTCTTCACTTGTTGTGGGCTATAACCCCATCTCTAGGAACAAAACCCACGGCCCAATGGAGTGGTTAACTGTGGAACAATATTTATCAGAGGTGTTAGAGTTGAGATGCAAAGAGAGAACACTATACAATTAAAAATAATTAAAGATAGCAGATTGCAGAAGTGAAGGAGAAAATAGGCAGTGCGATAAGTAGCATTAGTATGTTCGGTAGAGGAGAACCCAGAGAAAGAAGAGGAGATACCACAAGATATTGCTACAATAATTGATCAGTATTCAGAAGTTTTCTCAGAACCTAAAGGGTTCCGTTCTCTCAGGAGCCATGACTGTCAGATAATGCTCAAGGAGGGAGCATACCACTTCCCGAGTAGACCATATAGGTGTCCATACATGCAAAAGATAGAGATTAAGAGACTAGTCAAGGAAATGTTGGACTAGGGGATTATACAACCCAGCCAAAGCTATTTTGCTTCACTAACATTGGTCAAAAAGAAAGATGGAAGTTAGGGATTTTGTGTGGACTACAGACAACTCAATTAACTAACTGTGAAGGATTAGTTCCCTTTGCCATTAATTGATGAGTTGATTGATGGGTTACCTGGTTCTGTTTACTTTACCAAGATTGATTTAAGGGCATGCTATTATTAGATCAGGGTGAAGA